CGGCCAATTCAACTTTGTCTTGTGGGAGGAGATTTCCATTTACCAGAAGCCCCGAGACAGACTCCATCCCCGTCCTACTATTGGGGGAGGGGGGGAGAGTGAAGTAATAAAGGGTCTGCACGAAGTGGTCTTTCTCGAATGACCAATCCGCGGTAAATCTGCGATGATGGGAAACCTAAAGAGCCGCGCCAGTAACAGCTTCCGATCAGGCACCGCACAATCGGCATTCCACCAAGACACGGGGGGAGTTCGTGCCGGCCCGCAGACTTCGGCATTGCAATGGAGGCTGCGCGGAGAAGAATCTGCAAAAGGGTTTTCAACTGGCAAAGATATTTTCCGCTCCGAGATTCGAACACGAATCCTCCCTCAGAGTTAACTCGCCGTTACTCATAACTACACCACAGAAGCGCGTATACACATAAATGCTCGTTTCAAAGAAACAACCTTAAAAAATCAAAACCTCCGATTCAAACTCCCAAAGCCTCGAGTTCAATCAGATCGATCAAGCGAAATATCAATTCTGGAGAAATTCAGCTGAATGATTTAGAAGCTAGTCTTGACCACGGACAGGCGTTATGCCATCAATCAATTTTCGGTATAAGAATCCACAAAACGTAGATTCTGGCTGCATGTGATAAGACTATTTTAAAAATATTTAGCAACTGGAAGTATCTACTTAATCTTAATTCTCTTTTCTGCCGAAAATTCGCCATTTCCGGTGCACGATTACATAACTTTCTCTTCTTACGAAGTACCTTCGAAAGTAGAGAAAGTAACATTAAGCAGAAGCAGCTGGGAGATATCTTCAAGTTGTTCCTGGTTGTCGATGGTAGGTTCAACCATGCGCACACAATATGGAGGTACGATCGGATGACGTACACCTCGGAGAACAGGAAAAAGGAATCGTGGATAAATACTGCGACACCATCAGCGAGAAGCCGTCATCTTGATCGAACAGGTAAGTATGAAAAACCGCGGAGAGCCGATTTGGGGGAAGATGAGTTTCCTGCAAGCACATAATAAATGGGTCATGGTGAGAAATTATTAGCCTTGGTTCTTCTGAATTGGAACGGATTTCTTTTACGTTCCATGAGAGAGTCATGGATGATATTTAGGTGATTCTTCTTTCTCCCCTTCTAAAAAGTGCTTCGAGCACTCGCAGGTTGTTCCTCGTCCACTGCAGAGACGTCCTGACAGAGAGCAGCCAGCATTGAATCCTGGTTCCTCGAGATGGTTGAACCAAACCTAGAAATGGGTTGTTTTGACCTGATTTCGTAGGCACGTGGATTTGCGTACTTTTTGTCGCATTACAGGTCTCCATATCACGCTTAGTTTCCTAGAAAACAATACAGTTGACGACTAGTCTTCAAGGGACACCTGCCAAGCTGCTTCGCACATGGAGGGTAAACTTTTTTGGTTTTTTTTCTGTTGTTTTTTTGAGGGGAGTGCTCGCTTGTTGTTGCACTAATGGTCTTTATCACGGTATTGGAGAAAGACCGAGAGAGATCTACAGAGGTTTTCGCCGAGTGCCGACATTTGGCCACGGGAAGGATACCGGTGACTCAGATCTTCTGAACCTTTATCTCTTTCAGAAAGGTAGGGCACCTAGAGTTACCTGCATGGTCTCCTTCACAGTACATACAGTGCACATACACGGATTTCTGCCATGTACCACTTCAAAGGATCCTTTCTGGGAGTGATGGGAGATTGAGAATCCAGATCAGACGAAGAGTGGGATCTCTCTCCAATGTTCCCTCCTCTTCATCCTGACAATCTAGGTTACGCCTCGACTTTTACAGAACAAGTTCCTCCTCAGTTTCAAATTGGAAGTCGTCATTGTTATTCCCCTAACAAAATTGTATTTGATGAAAAGGTCTTGTCTCTTCATTCAATAATTAAATCACATAGGTCTCCCTTGCTTGCACACCTTTATATATATATATATTATATATATATTTAATATATTATATATATATATATATAATGAAAAACGGATGTTTGTTGTTTATTCTATTCTTATCAAGTCCAAATTAGTTTGTCACTTGAAGGATCTGGTTTTGTAATTGGATACAGTCAATACCGTCTGTGCTATAAATTGTTCTCAGTGTAACCACACATATATAGGGCAGACTCAGAGAATGCTAAACTAAAGGAACATAGAAATAACATAAGGTTGCTATTTGAGAGATGAAATTCTATAACAGCACACAGAATAAATCAAGGGCATGATTTTCAAAATCCAGAGATTTTAGCTATTGAACCGAATTTTAATGCGAGATTGATCCTAGAATCCTAGTTTATCAGGATAAATCCCAAAATAAATACCAACTTAGAATGTAACATTTTTGCTAAAAGCTATGATCTCATATTGCAACAATTTGCTAAAAATAATAAGCAATTTCACAACAAACATCAGATTTCTTGGGTTTGGACACAGTACTAAATGGTCAAAATGGTTGCCATCATAAAATCAGCAAATTCAAAGCAATAATTCTTAGCAGAAAACAGGTCTCAAAATTTCTCCCATAGAAGATAAAAATCCAGTCAACAGCTCTTTCTGACCCTATTTCTTTGGGAGTCGTGCTCATAGTGTATCCAATCATAATCTCCCTACTCCTCTCTTCCTGCTTCCTCACCCCCCTTTTCTGCCCCTTTCTCTCACCCGCTTGAGTCACGACCATTTGTGTAGAAACGCTCTCCGCAGCAGGAGGGTTCCTGTGCTCCAAGAATAACAGACAATGTCACAGCTAGACACTTATTCTCAAACTCTTCAAAATTATGAGAGTATATGTTTCTTATATTGTGCACTTATCATAGTTTTATAGTTCATTACTTTTGATCACCTAAAAGGGTTGTAATTGTAATTTTAATCGGTGTTATTATTCAAATTTTTTTTTGGGAGTTCATACATACACAATTTTACTTTTCAACTATGATTATTACTTTTTACTATATAGCATTTGAATATGGACAAGTATGTATTTTTGTTAGTTTTTTACTTTGGGACTTAAGACCTTGCTTATGACATTGCTATTTAATTGCAATTCAGTTTTTTTATTCAAGATATACAGTATATTATGTGATTCTTTATTGCTTTTTTATTGTGTTATGATGACATATGTATTTAATCTTATTTATTGAATATGATATGCTGATGATAGTATTTGATTCTATAATAATTGATAATATAGTAAGTATTAACGAATGTTATTAGGTATTAGTCCAAATTGAATATCTAGTAATCTATATATATATAAAAGAAAGTCGTGTTAGTTACTCCACTTATAACTCAAGAACGGCTGAACCGATTTAACTGAAAATTGGCAGGGAGGTAGTTTAGAGCCAGGAGAATGACATAGGATACTTTTTATCCCGTTCGACAGCATTCCCGTGTGACTTGAGATGAAACGTCAGTCACTATAAAAGGTGGTATAACAAAAAAGAATCAGACTTGGAATAACAAAACGCAAATGACAGCTATGTAATTGACGTATAATGACAGATATATAATGACCTATGGATGACAATTTGATATTTGTAAGAAATCAATAATAAAACTATTTCTATTAAATAAATAATTAACAATTATAATGTAATGATAGTGCCATTGCTCATTCGTAAAAAGTGAAGTGAACTATAAAACTCGGTATGGTTGAATTTTAAAGACTTCAATTTCCGATACGTCTTGCATTTGCCATGACCATCAACAAATCACAAGGCCAATCCTTAAAATTTTGTGGTTTAAATCTAGAACATTCATGTTTTTCCCATGGTCAATTATACGTGGCATGTTCATGGGTCGGAAGACCATCTGCGTTGTTTGTTTTTGCGCCTGATAGTAAAACAAAAAATGTGTATCACAAGGTACTTAAATGAAGAGCAACCTATGTACTAAAATACAGAAATAATTATGAATGATAAATGTAGGTATTTATTTTTTTTTGTATTTTTTCCAATTAAAAAAAACTGCTTATTTATTGCCATTAAGGCGGAACAAAGGTCGCCGGGTCAGCTAGTTGTTAATATTTCTTTGTGTTATAGCTATTATTAGAAAAGACCTGATGAAGGCAAAACGACCTTCGAAACATTGCCAATGAGCTTTGTGAAGTGTAATAAATATGTAAATGGATCTTTCCTGTTTAATAAATTTGAGTGTCTATAATGAACATTTTGAATTTCATTATAATTTTATGAAAAGTTGCACATATTACCTTAGATATTGTTGCATAAAGTTCCTTTAGTATAAATAATAATTAACATGTTTGTATATTTTGTTGTTTTTGTTAAGTACTTAGGATTGAATAAAATGTATTTGTAATTCACATTCTACCTTTATTGGTTTTGTTCTTTAGTTTTAATTGTAATTGTAAACAGGCTATAGTTCAAATGAGATTATTTACTTCTCAAACTGAATGTATTAGTTCCCAATGTTATGGTGTTTATAGTCAATTTGAGTGTTTAAAACTCATATAAACATGCTCATCATCAATTTGGTTGTGTTTGATCTCAATTTGAAGTTGGAAATTAATAGCTGACGCATCAGTTTTGCGAATATTTAATCACGCTGTGGTCAAGTTTGAACATGCACATATGTAAATAAGTAACAAAGTGGTGTTGTAATTTTGTGATCATAATTTTAAAATGTCATTTGATGATATGATGAGACAATAAAACTACCAACACCAAAGACCATTTTCATTTTCGCTTACATGTGTATACGCTCCACACCCGTATTTGATATTTCAACCTACTTTGTGAAATATATTATTTTCCTGATTTTCTGAGAAGTGAATTTCTCCAAAATGCCACTCAATGTAGATCGGTTCACACTGAGTATGCTCAGCCACAAGTACTAGAAGAAAAATAATTAGCAGCAAACAAGGTCCCCAAGAGGTTTGAAGGTATATTTTATTGTCCCTCAGAGACAAAGTATATCTATTAAAGAATGAATAGTTTAAAGATTTCTCTTTCTCCAAAAAAATATTAAACTTGTACTGTACCTTATCTTTCGGAAGAGGATGACCCACTCTTGCTTTTTTTCGTACAGTTTCTGCCTTCTTCGGCCCAACTGCCTTGGCAGAAGCACTTTTCATGTTGGAAGACTGAGTCAAGCTTGGAGCCTGATTTGGTGATTTCTCAAATTTGACCGTCTTTTCTTTGCATGATTTTGCACTAGATAAAGGTCCTTTTTTCACTTCGATCTCCTTTGAGGGGCCTTTCTTTGTAACAATCTTTAATTTCAGACCTCCCTAAAAAAACAAAGATATAAAATAAATAATGTAAATGTAATGAATTACATTCATTACAACTCCAACAATTGAAACCAATTATTGTATAAGCAAAAACAAAACAGTAATTATGAAAGACAAGAAAACACAATCTGAAATTCAAACAGAGCACCTACTATACAGTTACTTATATAAAATTTAAGGGTTGGAACTTCAGTAGTACCAACAATTTATTTAAAACCGATACCAAATTGATACATTTCAAAATTTACCATCCTCCAATGTAGTTACTAGAATTTTCTACGTAATTGTCTACACTGTTATACCCGCTGTCAGCAAAAAACAGTCGTGGAATGTCTTTTAACAGCACATGTGGTGTTGAGTCTAAATGGCCTTCACATGCCTGAAGAATTTCTGGAAAAGCCTTCAAGTGAATGACACATAGTGGCTCTTTTGTTTTACAAGGGAGTGTTACAGAAAATCAAGGAAAATAGAAAGTATCAGAGCCTTCATTTCAAAACATTGAAATTTTGATGACATAATGTGATGGCTCCCAGAAACCCACAAAATAAAATTAGCTGCAAGTTTCCACTGTATGCCTCCAAATAAAGCATTGAATTATACATATAAGTACTAACAAAGTGACAGTGGTCTCAACCAGTTCATTTAGATAGCCCTCACAGTGGGCGAGCTGGCAGTATTAGGGGCTTGAATGATACATCGCTCAGTCAGTAGCACTGCAATGAACAAACAGCTGTGTAGTTTTGAATCTTGTACCGCTTTCTGCATTTAGGAAAAGTTACAATATTCACAATGTGCTCCGCAGAGCAAATTGTTTTGCACCTTCTTAACATAGAGAACAACTGTTTTTTGATAACAAAGGTTTAACATCATTGGAAAATCTACATGGAAAAGATCGAGAAATGGGTCAATGCATTATGGAATTGATGGAAAATAATTGTGCAGGAATGGAGAAGTATGGGAATACAACCTTCAAAAGTACATGACAGAAGCAATTGTGAACCATGTCATAGCAACCGAGATCCATTCTTCTACCATCAGATGATAATTGGCTGTGTTCACAATTAGAATTCAAGAACAGTGAGTCACTGGAATCTAGAGATATCAAACGTCTACAGTTCACTTTATTATCCAAGACATGAAAAATATAGGTGTAGATATTGGTAATATCTACTACCATTAGATTCAAGAAGAAAACTGGAATGGTGACTGAAAGTGGTGAATGAAAGTGGATGAAAGCTGTTTTCAAAATCTCATATCCCCAGAAATGTAATCTAATTACACTTTTGAAAGTGGAAAACATGGCAGCAAATCCTAATGAAAATAAAAACAGGTATGCTCTCAGTTTGAACTTGCAAGAACAAAGTAAAATGTGAATTTTTAACAGTGTATCTTAGAAATATCAAAAGAACATGGCAGGGAAAATACGAATTTTTCCACAATTATTTTAAGAAATCTAACAAATTAGGAGCCAGTATCAACAAACCCACTCTCTTGTTTACAAAGAAGCAGAAAATGAAATGATTACAGAAGAATTTCTGGAAAATGAAAAGAATGATTTTCACACTACGCAAGTCTTGTGTCTACATTATGGCCCAAGCTGATCTGACTGCGACTGTAAGGCTGGGGAATATGGTAGATGGTACAGCACTACCTAGTCCCATCATTCAAACAAATCGGCCACAGTTTGTACTGCTTGCAGCCAAGCATTGTCCAGCAAAATGATAAGTCCATTTTGAAAAGTATTGCCACTTCGAATGTTATGCATTAGGATGACATAATCAGTCTTTCACAAAGAATCACATTGCAATTATCGCATTCCAGGCTTCTGGCGAACTTACGATTTTCATTAACTTAATGATAACATTTGTTCAATTAGCATTTCATTTGTGGCTAGTAGAACATGGCTTATTTCTCATCCTACTTAACGATATGGTGTAAGAAAGGTTCTCCATGCTCCAAGTGGTTACGAGCACTGTTGCATTGTAGCCATCCCTCCATTTCCTTCAAATCATGCGGAACCTTTTGTGATGTAATTTTACTCCAGCCCAAGGATTCCTTCAGAATGTGGAACTTAGTTGTATTAATCCTTTCAAATGGGCAAACTCACGAATCATATAGTGTCAGTCGGTGCCCAAAAACTTCTTCACAGAATGATGTAGATGTAAACATTGCCGCATGGGTAGGCAGTCACTGATTTGCTGCAAGTTTGTGATAAAAATTCCTCTTCGAATTTTATTAAGTACGTATGTAATAAAATTGTTTTGTAAAATTCAAGTATATGCCTGCAATATACAGTAGAAAATCATATGTAAACAAGGCATGTAAGCGTAAATTTACTTTAAATGATATGTGTTATTCCAAACAAGAGGGGTAAACAAATATACGTACCAAGTGTAGAAATAGTTTCAAAGTAATGGCAAAACTCATATCACCTATGCTTATTGTGTAGTAAAACTATTTGAATTGTGCAGAAAGAATTAGCATAAATGAATATCTGAAATATGAAAATAAATGAATGTGACTTTTGCACTGCAGTGTCAAGATCAGTTGCTTTATATTGTATGTGTGATTGCACATGTGATGTGATGATTGAGTGAATTCTGTTTAATGTAGTCACTTTAAGTGTCATGACTAGGGAATGGATTATCATGTAATTACACATTTTTAGAGGAACAAGATCCCTGCATTCAATAATATTTTTAAGAGTTTACAAGAAATTGTTAATAAATAAGAACCATTTTTATTTGAAATATTTTAGTATAATTGGATAGTTTAACATATTTCACATATCACTACATATTTCTTACATACAGTAAAACCCAGCTTTTACGTTCCTGCATTTTACGTAATTTTTTGTTGGTCCTGTTGAACAGCCTATATTTAAAATGCATCCGCTTCCTTCAATTTACAACTTCGTATGAAGAGTGCTTCCCATCTTTTACGTCTTTTTTTAAAATGTATTTTATTAAATTTATTATTATTTTGAGTTATTAATAATAAAAAATTAAAAATAGCAATTAATTTTATTTTTTTTACTTTCTTGAATACGTACATATTATACCTAGGGCAGAAAAAGTTATGTAATGCTGCGACAAAAAAACGGTGAATTTTCGACAGAAAAACTCGCTCTTATTCAGATAAAAAAGTGGATAAATCCTGTTCAATATGTAGTAAAGTACAATCAATCCAGATCAATTGAGGAATATCAATTTTCAAGAAAATTGGCAGGCGGTGTAGGTGCTCCTATTGACAACAGATGGACAAACAAACATTTTGCCATCAATTGATTTTGCTGATGAACCAATAAACAGAGATTCAAGCTACACCATGTGTTAGAGTATGTAATTTACTATCTATAGGAATATGATTTATCCACTTTGTCATGACCAGGAACCGCCAATAAGAGATTTTCTGAAGGAAATCATTGTTTCCTGCGAATGCTTTTAAATTATCTTCTTACGAAGGGCGAGAAGGTGAAAACAGCTACCATAGCAGTAACTAATGAAAGTACTTGCCTATCCTACTGTTTTTCAACATTTACACTTTTTTCACTGGTCCCCTGAAAATTGTAAAAAAGGGGTTTTACTGTACTTTGTAACATTTTAATATGTTAATTTGTCGAAATAAATAATTTCACATGTGATTTTACACTATTACATATTAGAGAATCATCTTTTTCACAAAGCAATGTAATGCTACTATGCTTTTGTAACCACCTTCGTTCTCTCATAATTGCCAAATTATTCCCCCCCCCCTCTTCTTGGAAACTCGATCATCAATAATTAAACCAGTTATTTTGTACATAAGTACATCGTCACTGATACCAAAATTTGATCAATTTCTTGAGGAATTCAATACTATACAACCAGACATTATAATAATAAATGAATCATGGCTGAATTCTAAAATTCCAGATAGAATGTTATCTATCCCTGAGTTTTCCATTTACCGCAAGAAAAGATCTGAACAGATCTGATAAACGAGGAGGGGAGTATTGATATATGTGAGACAGAAAATTGGATCAGCTATTGTGAGAGTAGAGGAAATCCGTGAAATAGAAAATCCCGATATGGAAACACTATGGCTGAGTCTGAGAATCGGTAGAACTCAATTTATCATCTGAGGAATATACAGACCACTGTCACCAGAGTCAAGACCAAGCCAAACAGACCTTAAACGTTTTGAACAAATGGATAAAATATGCGAAACAGATGAACCAACAAAAATAAATTAAGTTTTTTTCACAATGGAACTGTTACGCAGATGATATGGAACTGTTTGCAAACTCATTAACTGATTATCCAACCTTACAGAAGGGCTTGATCACAATGAAAATCTGGTCAAAGGCATGGCTTCTTCCACTGAATTCTAAAAAATGCAAAATCCTCCTTATTGGTAAGAAAAATCTTATACTACCCTACACTATCGCAGATCACACCTTGGACATCACAGTACTACAAAACGATCTGGGCGTACTAATTTCTCATGATCTGAAATGGGAATGTCAAGTTGCAGCAGTGGCCAGGCGAGCAAACAGTGCTCTGTATATGACGATAAAGGCATTCTCCAAATTACACAGCCCCACAGTTGGGAAAATTTACACGACATATGTTTGATCCATATTGGAGCCTAGATTCCAATTATCAGAATAAAGTCCTTATTGTCACTTGAACAGAGAAGAACTAGAACCGATCTTGTAAAAACATAAAATTTTGAATAGATTATACAAAAATCCATGACAAGAATCCCTCTTTACAAGATCTACTGATGGTAGACTATGGGGACACAAGACAACATTGTACATATTACAAGCGTATTTTGAGAAAGACTGATGGGTAATGACTAGTGAACAATTAGTTCTTTAGATTTAAAAGTTTCTTTCAGCTGCTTCGAATCACTTTAAAGATCTAATGGGCGATATTCGGTGCTTGGAAAATTCTTGTACGGTGTACTGTGTATTTTAAATACTATAATGAATTTTTATTTTACATATTTTC